GCCAAAGCCGTGGTGCTAGGGGGTGGGGTGTGAGTGAACCTAGGGGTGCAGTAGGGGGTGTGTGAAATGGGGGTGGGATAGTTTGGGGAGGTTGAAGGGGGTGGCCGCCGTGAAGCCCGCAGCTCCAGTCGCCCGTGAGACCGTTGCGCCAGTCGCCCGTGAGCCCGTTGCGCCAGTCGCCCGTGAGCCCGTTGCTCCAGTCGCCCGTGAGTCCGTTGCTCCTGCCGCTCAGAGTTAGCCGCGGAGCCAGTTACTCCAGTAGCCCGTGTGCCAGTTGCTCCAGTTGCCAGTGTGCCAGTTGCTCCAGTTGCCCGTGTGCCAGTTGCTCCAGTTGCGCCGTGTGCCAGCAGCTTCAGCTGCCGCCCACTACCTCCTCTCCTCTCGTAGTCCCTCCTCCTCCACACTTGCCCTCTGCGATAGCCTCTAGCTTTGCTTACATTTGTGAACTTTAAACGGTTGCTTCTTGTACTTGTGCTCAGAATGTGTGGTGACATTGTGATCCACCCTGAGCTTGTTCTGCTTTGCTTGTTGTGCTGATTACACCCCACTTTGACTATGGGGGTGTGTCAGAATATTATGTTTCTCTAGTCTGCAGTGGGGTACTCTATAGTGAGTACAGCCCTTTTAGGGTTTGCTATATGTATCCCAATGTTTGCTAGTGAACCCCTCTCTCTTCTCATTCATTCCTCATTCTTTCACACCTACAAGAGAAAAAAACGGCGATGCACTATTCATTCAAGTTACTGTGCAACAACCAGAGCGCGATCATAATCGCGAACAAGCCTGGCTTCGTCAACCGCACGAAACACGTCGCCCTCCGTTACCTTTTCGTTAAGGACGAAATCGACAAGGGCAGAGTTTTCAGTTGCTGATGGCGCTCACGATCTTTCTTCGTAACCCGTCACCAACAGAACAGCAAGGCAATCTGATCATACAAGGAGTTTCGAAACTCGGCAAAGTTAGCCTGGCAACATTTGAAGCAACTCTATCAAGCAACAGACGAAGTCACACGTAGAGGACTCAATCAGCAGTTGAACAGCGTAGACATGAAACCAGGAGAAGGCTTCACAATATATCAACAGGTGCAGAGAGTTACGAAATCAGCTCAAACGAAGTGGAGGAAACTTCCCTAATTCAATCTTAATAACAGTCGTGGTTGCTGGACTTGGACTACAGTGGTGTCAGACACGTTCGCTTCTTCGAACACAATCAACGTTTCGGAGATGCAACTCTGCGCTACACTTCTGGCTGAACAGCAGTATATGGACCTGTACGACAGCAAGAACAACAAGAAGGCAAATCAGTTTGCCTTTTTAACACACAGAGAAGTGGAGCCGCAGACACCGACAAAAACATTTTCAATAGCAGCAGAAACAGAGACAGCAGCAGCAGCAGCCACAATAGCAACAACAGTACTACGTACCTTCGTTCTGTCACAACTGCAAAACTTCCAGACACACTCGAAATCACTGCTCACACGACAACAACCGACATCTCAACGTACAGTCGCCGCTCCACCACAGGTTCACACCGCTACTGCTTCAGCTGCACAGCCACGGATTCAACCACATAATGTATTAGCACTATCAAAAGGGAGAAATGCGCAAGCATGGATGGCACGTACAGGTTCCTGCATCACAGGCTCACCTCCAACCTACGTACCCGATGAGGTCAAACTGCCGATTTCAACAACTCTTGTAGTCAATCCTCAGTATGCGAACGTCGCAGCCAGTGCAAACTGCAGTTGCTGCAGACAACACATGTGCATGTCAGAGTTAATAACGATTTCTTCATCAAGCATGAATCTCGACTTCATCAGGAAGTTACTATCACAGTTGCAAATAATCAGACACTACGTACCCAACGGCAAGGTACTGTTTTTCTTCAGTCGCCTGAGGCAAATGCAGTCATACAGCGTTCCCAAGTCCTCGTCGTACCCGGGCTTGGCTATAATGAGGAGCGGCACGCTGCCGCCCCTCGACACAGGGAAGGCACGGCGGTGCAAGCGACCTCGAGAGTGCGGGCAGGGACCTGGGGACGCCAGAGACAAGGAGACGTGAGCGCATGCTACATAGACGTAGCATGGAGGGGTTGTCGAAGTGAAAGTCCCCGCCCTTGCTTGGGCGCAGGCGTTCTCTGCGGCGCCATGGTGGATTCGTCGAAAGTGGTCGTCGAATTGGCTCTCAAGTTTAGACGACCAGCGCGTCCTTTGAAACCACGGGTGATTTTCGAGGAGGCTATCCTCTGGTCGGCTGGCCCATCAACAAGCTCTGGTCGACGGGGTGCTGTTCGACAAGCTCGTCCTTTGATCTGCTAGTGAGTCGCGCGAACTCTGACGGACAGGGTCCGTTTCGACGAGCCTCATTCTCTGATCAAGGGGTGCTGTTTGGCGAACCTAGTCTTGGCGAACTGGTCGAATTCGCGTGAATATGAAGCTTTGCAAAGGCATGCGAATTTTGCTCATGAGATTTTAGCGAAATGTGACCTGCGGAACGGCATCACGTGCTCGACGGTTGACATCTGGTGAAACCAGCGGAACGTTTTCTACCTGGCACCTGTGCAATGTGCCTGATGGTGAAACCTTCGACCTGCACCTAATTGGTAGGTGCGCACTAGTGCGCAGATATTTACCTGCAACTGCAACGCTGGCAGGCCGCCCTGTTTCAGCGTTGGCGAGCCGCTCAAATGCTGCGCTGGCAATTCGCCTTGCAGAATGCTTGCTAGGTATTGCAATGCCATTCTAGTCATATCGCTTGCATGCCTCATTTTTGTACTCTGTTCTCGGTGTTCTTTTCAATTTCTTAGTGGAAACTCTTACCAAAATTCTCTGTCAACACAGCTAGTATTAAGAACTCTACTAGAGCGCTACGATCCCCCGCACAACCCCGTGCCCTCCTCCATAGTCCACTCCCGTTGTAGCGTGACTCTCCGCATGAGTGACCCAGACGATGGTGCCAAAGGAGAGATGGGTCCGTGAGTAACTGACACGAGCAAGACGGAGCTACTTGACCAAACACAGCTACCTGTGCAGACTCATTAGTCAGTGTGTTATGGGCCAGACCCGAGTCTTCGAGTGAACGTGGCGAGGTGGGCGCCAATCTGTGAGTCCGTGCAGATCGCCACAAGTTCACCCCCAGCACTAGTGACAGTGACAAACTGGTCCTGGAGGACAGCGTTACTCACCAAGTTTGTAGCAAAGGAGGGGAGGTGGAGACCTGTGACGGGGCCGGAAGCGACTGCCGGACATGGGAGAACGTTGGAGCCACGTGCAACGACTAGGCCACAGCTAGAGTGACAGGGACAGGTGCAGTGAGCAGTGTGACTGTGGTGCAGTCGCGGAAGAAGCAGCAAGACGTGCTTGAGTCAAGCGTGAAGGTGTGCAAAGCCTCCGTAGGAGCTGCACCTGTGTTAGTAGGCTCACAGGCACCTAGATTAGTAGCCTCTACACCACCAGGGACGCGTCGCTGGGAAACCCACTCCCGAGGCTGCTGCGGCAAGAGGGTCTCTGGCTGTCACTGCTGCCGCTGGTGTCCACCCCCAGAACCTCCGCCTCCACCAGCGGCACCACCTATACGAGCAGACGCACAGGTAACTGCACTCGCCTCGTCGACCAGCTGCTGCACCTCTTCTAACAACGGAAGATGCTGTCGCAGTGGCCGGGTGGTAGGAGAAAGGGAGGAGTAGTGACTAACCACAGCGTCGTCGAAAGTTTGGGCCGACGTCACCGAACAAAAGTGGGCCCTCTTGTCGACCGGTAGGTGAGCGCAAACAGCAAGCTGTGCGACAACGTCGCGCTCCGTCCATCGTGTGCAGGAAACACGGGCTGCCCGGTACCGCCACAGCTCGTGCTCGCCAGCGTCAACAGCAGGCTCAGTGGGAGTCGTGGGGGCTCGGAGGGACCCCGACGTGTGCTCGAACAGGGAAGCATCATCTCTAACGAAACGCCAGAGATACCGGCGCAGGCCGGCGAGCCACAACTCTAGCCCGTCCGCGTCAACGGCTAGGATAGTGATTGTGGCCATGACAGGCGGCGTCAGTCAGCAGTACCGGTGCAAGGGCTGAAGTAGCGATCGCAGCGGCGGTAGCTGGAACGGCTGGTGCAGTGGCAGCAGTGGCAGGGCGGCGCGGTGGCGCGTTGAGCAGGGCAGCGCGTTGAGCAGGGCAGCGCGGTGACGCGTTGGACAGGTCGGCGCAATGGCGTGCGGGGCAGGGCAGCGCGGCGGCAGCAGGGCGCGCAACAGCAGGTACGGCAGTAGGTTCGGTAGTCGGACCTAACCTAGAATCTGATACCATGTCAAGAAAGAGAGTACAGCGGAATGAATTGACTAGGATGAATATGGGTACAGGTACCGTATGCAACCCTAACAGGATTGTACTCTATAGTGAGTACCCCACTACAGCCTGAACAGACATGCATATACTTTGACATTTACAAGACTTCTGCTGCAACACTATTATTAGCAAGGACTGAACTCTAAAATATCGTAAGGGCTTTGCTCTGCCCAACAAATTCAATAAGATTCAGACTCTTACCAGTGTCAACAGCGTTAGGGGGTGCGAAAGTGAGAGTTCCTTTTTTGAAACGTCAGTCCTTGACTTTCTCGCACCATAGGACCACACCGGCCCTCTAACAGGTCAATAACCTACCCAACATCATATAAGGCACTAACTATCTATTTTTCGACTAAAAGCCAGCAGAAAGAAAACACTGGTTCTCTCAGTAAAATGACTTACGTCACTCTGATATATCCCTTTGCATGCTAGTTAGGGCAACTGTGCAGCACTTTCTACAGAAAGCATTCCACAAAGCACTAACACACCAGAAGAACGAGTCTCAAATACCGGTAGCACATGTGCGGGTGCATGCGCATGTGGTTTTGTGTGTGGGTGTGTGTATGGGTGTGTGAGGAGATCTATCGCCCCTCTCAACCCTCCCTTTCCTAATGAACCCCTCCTCAACCGACGATCACTCCACCAGCTCTCTCAGCGGCGCTTTGCTTCTAAGCAGCAACAGGGCGCCACATGGTCTTCTGGAAGCTGATAACAGAGCTGCCTGTGCGCCGGAACGCCTTCTTTACCTCCCAGTGCAGCTGCTTCGCAATTGCCTCAATGCGTGGCAGGTGCGGTGCCGTGTCCCGGATGATGGCGTACCCCATGGGGCGTAGAATGCGGTCCATCTCTAGCATCACCGCCTCCACATCGCACCTGAGCGTGCGCGCACAGGCAGGGAGTGTGGGGTTGGGGGGGGTGGGGGTGGGGGATGAGTGCAAGAATGGAGGAGCATAGGGAGAGGGAGGATGAACAGGGGCGCAATGAGGGGCATGACGTGCCCCATGGGGTGTGAGTGCAAGAATGCGGTCCATCTCTAGCATCGCCGCCTCCACGTTGCACCTGACGTGACACCATAGCACGATGGCCCGACAGCAGGATGGCAGGACGGGGTTCCTGATGGGCTCACTAAGCAGCCTGCTCATGCGCAACAGACCAGATAGCCCCAGCTGCAGCAGCTGCAAGGGCCGAAGCAACTCACCCAGCGCACAATCACGAGCACACACACCAGCCCCACCCAAGCACAACCACAACCACAGACCCACGCACTGGCGCGCCCCCAGGGCCAACCCAGCGCACTGCACCACATGGCACCACACCACACCACACCGCACCGCACCTGCTGCCTCGCATCATCTTCCCCAGCAGGCGGTCAGCGTGCAGCAGGTCGTAGGTGCGCGGGTACGTGTTGAAGGCCTCGCACCAGTCGTGGTACGCGCCCAGCAGCCCGCGGTCAAATACAATGGGCAGCGTGTCCAGCCCCTCACTCGCGTTCCCAGCTGGGACCACGTTCATGGTCCACAGAGGCTTGTCAGAAATGCCCGCACCAAATCTGCAAGGGAGAAAGAGCGAAAACGTTGGTCGACGAGGGCGAGAAAGAGAGAGGACGCAGTGGGGAGCAGAGAGGGTTTCAGGAGGAGAGAACGGGGAGGGAGGGAGAGAACGCAGTGGTGGGAACTGCGGGCAAGGGCATGGATGACCTCATGTCTCTCGCCTGTTTGCTCCAGCTCACGTCACCCCCTCCTTGGCAGCACCACCATGACACAGCATATGCGCTAATCCATGGCGGAACACCATTCACAGCCCAGCAGCGCTATCACAGCACCTCGCCCGCACACGTGCCGCTTCAATCGTCCCCAAAAACGCCCCATCCCGCACCAACTCACCCGTCGTAACGCCCACTCCACAGACCCCCCCGCACCAATCCCCAGCACCACCCCCTCCTCCTCCCCCCCCCCCTTCAGCACCGCACTCACCCGCCATAATGCGAGTCCATGTCCATGACATTGCGCACGGTGGTCCAGTCCATGTTGAGGTGCCGCGAGTACCGCTTGGTCTCGCGCTCCCAGAACTCCGTGTCCGCGTCAAAGTCCGCCGGGCCCGCCTTGCCAAACAGCCCGCGCGCCACCTCCGCGATGCGCGCGGGCGCCGTCACCAGGCGGTTGCGCCCCTCCGCGGGCCACGTGGTGAGCGCCTTGGCGGCGGGAATGCGGTGCATACACGCCTCCATCGGCTCGTACCTGGGGAGTGGGGGGGGGAGAAAGGGGGAAAAGAGGGTGAGGTGAGAGGGGAGAGCGGGTTGGGGTGACGGGAGAATAGGGAAGGGAGGGCGGGTAAGGGAGAGGGGGAAGCGAGGAATTTGCGAAGGGGCAATGTGCGAGGGAGGGGAACGGGAAAGTTTCATCGGAACACCTTTGGCTACACGGTTAAAACATGAGGCGGGGCGGTAGGACACGCTGATTTAACGCTCAGGCTATCAAGTGACGGCAAAAGTGGCACCCTCATTGCGCTGCACCTCACCACACCCCCCCCCGCCGTCGTCCAATCCCACAGCCCACCCCACCCCGCCGTCGTCCACTCACCAGGCGGCGTCCGCGCGGTTGCTGTCGGGGCACAAGGGCGGGATGGTCTTGCGCGGGCGCGCGTCGTAGCACTCGTTGTCGAGGGGCTTCTGCCACACGGCCACGCCGATGCCGAACTCGCGGTGCACCTTCTTCGCCAGCCGCTTCCAGCACATGTTCTTCGTCAGCTTGCGCATCGCTGCGGGGCGCAACAGAGGGGATGGGCGCACAGAGGGGATGGGCGCACAGAGGGGATGGGCGCACAGAGGGGATGGGCGCACAGGGGGGATGGGCGCAGAGGGGGGGATTGGTGGCGTCTCGAGCACATGTTCTTCGTCACCTTGAGCATCGCTCAGCGGTGGGAGAATCAACCAGGTAAGAGGGGGATCAGAGCGTGCTGCGCGCAGCATTGCCGGGCGGTGCGTGCGATGCGACGAGTCTAACTTATACCAGTCCCCACCGCACCAAACCCTGCGACTCACCGCTCCAGATCTCCTTGTCATCAGGCTCCTTAGCGGAGCAGTGCAGGCACAGCGGCGTGGCGGACCAGACGAAGTACCCCCCGGGGCGAATCAGCCGGTTGAGCTCCAGCAGCAGCTTGCCGCCCTCGATGTGCCACGGCACGCGGCACCGCGCGCAGTGAACCGCGTCGAACGAGTTCGCGGGGTACGGCTGGCGCTGCGTGCCCATGACGCCCACGAGCGCGCTGACTCCGCGCTCGAGCGCGAACTGGATCTGCGCGTCGTGCTCGTCCTTGGGCGCCACGGACATCACGCGCACGTCGAACGCGTCCAGATACGCGCCGAAGCTCGCCACGCCGCACCCCATGTCCAGCACCACGCGCACGTGCTTGCCCCACGCCAGCTCCGGACACACCTGCGGGGGGAAGAAGGAGGCGCGACGAGGGGGAAGAGAAAGGGGCGATGCGGGACGCGTTAGGCGTTGTTTAGAGGCGCATCCCATGTTCGGACAACTGGAAGACAAGGGATAGACGAGGGGGGGACGAGGGGGAGACGAGGGGTAGACGAGGAATTGTGAAGGCGTTGATTGAGCAGTCTTAAGACTCGCGCGTTCGAGGCGCTGGCTTCCGTTTCTTCGCACGCTCCGACTTTAACGTTTGTCAACGTCTTTTCATGTAACCACCCATCCCCACCCATTCATCCTCCCTCGCCCTCCCCTGCCGTCCCCCCCCACCCCATGAATAACCCCCTCTTCCACCCTCCCGCCACCCTCCGCGCGCGCGCGCGGCCCCACCCCACCCCACCCCGCCCGGGCGCACTCACGTCGTGCACCCATTCGATGTAGCGCGTGGCGCCGTACTTGAACTGCGTGCCGCCGCCCGGGAAGAGGAACTTGTCGCCGTCCGCCTTCACCCAGTTCTGATCCGCCTTGTAATTCGCTAGCGACGGCTTCGGCACGTTGCTGTACCAGATCTGATCGCACCGGCAGAAAGAGGGGCGCGGGATGAACGGAGGGGAGGATGAGAGAAATTAGGTGAGGGGGGAGAGAAACGAGTCAGAGAGGAGGTTAAGAGGGAGTTACGGCTTTAGGCAGTTGATGCATCAGGTTTGATCGGACCGGGAGGGAGAGACAGAGGGGGGACGGTGGGAAGTAGCGGGGGATGCGGGAACAACGGGGATGCGGGGAGGTGAAGGGGAGAAAGGTAGGACGCGGCACGAGCTATTCAACTCTCGCCGCTCGCCGTTCATCGCGCACGGCTCACCTGGTCGCGGCTCTCGGGCCACGTGATGTGCGGCTTGTACCCGTCGGGCAGCGGCAGCACGCAGCGCGGCACCTCCTCCACGGCGGGGCAGTGCCGCTCGCGGTGCTCGTAGTGGCTCGTGCTCTTGAGCTGCCGCAGCGCCTTCTCGTTGTCCAGGCACGGGATGTAGTCGTCGCTCTGCTCCACGCACAGCGGATACGGCGCCACCGATGTCGGTCGCGACGCGGAAGCTTCCTCCCCGTCTTCTTGCGCCTTCTCCGCCTTCTCCGCCTTCTCTTCCTCCTCCTCCTTGCTTGCTGCGCCTGCCTCGGAAGTCTCGCCCGTCGCGTCGCTGTTCTCGGCGGTGCTGCTTTCCTGCAGTACACGCCGGGGATGGCGGGGATGCGGGGGATGCGGGGTGTGAGCGTGTGCGCGTTCACCGCGCGTTACGGGTTACATGCGGGCTTTTCGTCACGATCCACTTTGCTTTAGCTTCTTCCTTATGGATTCTGGACTGAACGTGCAGCACAAAGCGTAAAGCCTCTGCTGCCTGGCTTGCAGCGCATAGCCTCGGGCACACAGCGCAGAGCACACAGCGCAGCGCGGAGCTTATAGCACACAGCGCAGAACGCTCCGCGCAGAGAGCACAGCGTACCGCGCTGGAACTTGGATCACACAGTGCAGAGCGCAGAGCGTACCTGGGTATCGGGCTCGGTCTCCGCGTGCGCCTGCTCCACCTTCGACTCCGCCGCCTGGCTCGGCAGCGGCTCCGCCTGCGCGCAACACGGGCCCGCAGAGACGTTGTTTAGAAGCCGGCGCTCGACAGGCGTCGGAGAAGGCGAGAAGACGGCTCAACTTCTCGCGCACCAGATTGCGACAAGGCCATAGGCTGTTATACCGAGTTTCATCATAAATTAATGGTGGCGCGTCAGTCTCACCTTGCTGTCGTCAGCAGGACCCTCCTTGCGGCTGGTCTTGCGCTCCACGTCAGCATCGCCGTCTGCAGCGTCGGTACCGCCCAGCTCCTTAATCCGCTCCTCCACTTGCTGCAGTTCCGCCGCCACCTTCGCCTGTTCGCGCGCCTCCTGCGCCTTTTCCCCCTCGTACTGCGCCGCCTGCCTCTCCGCGGACTCTTCCCGCCGCTCCTCCACTACTACCGCCGTGTAAACCGCGTCTTCCGCAATGCGCTGCAATCCGTTGGCGGGACTCTTTGCCTGGCGAGGAGCAGGTGATCGATGCGGGCAGTGACGTACCAGGGTGACGTGGAGGGAGTGACGTGGCGGGAATGCACGTATGAGGCGGGGTTACCGGTGGGGGGACGGAACGGGAAAGGGAGGGCAAACGCTGAAGATAAAGGTGTGAGAGAACACGGATCGAAAATATACACCATACGATGCGGTAAAAGGCAGGTCACGTGAATTTTACCGAGCCCCAATCAACCACGACGCTAGGTTGACGTGGATTGGCTGCGCGAGCAAGGATCATTGCAAGAAAAACGGGAGATTCGAAAATCTGAAGAAGGCGTACCGGCGAAGTGAACAGCCACATGGAGACGAGGAAGACGAGGACGAGCGCGAGGCTCGTGGCCAACGTCGAATTTCCTCCAGGCGAGGTGTAGGGTGACTTGCCCTTCCATGAGTTGGTGGCGCCTCGAAAGGCCTTCACTAGCGCCTGCAACCCCATCCTGCGAACCAAGGAGATCCCAGACCTGAGGTCTCAACGCGACGAAACCTGATGTGAATCCCCCCCAAAAGTAAGAAGAGCAACCGTCGGCGTCGTTGCAACTGCGGCAGGAACAACGCTGTTGAAGCTAAAGGCTGGATCAGAACACAAGCTGAATTCTCAAGTATTTTTGCTGCTTTGGAGGTCACACTGCTGGGAGGCCGAGTCGGGGAAGTGTGCCTCATGACCGACGCGCGAGGTGCGGGGAGGAATGAAACCTATGGTGGGAGCTCTGACTGGACTATGGTATGGCATGGAGGGAGGTACGGTTTGAAAGCGAAGCCATCGGTGACTTCCGAACCAGATTTCCAGGCCAAACCGGACCAGGTCAGTGGGTTTAGCCAGGGCGCGGGAACAAGCTTCGGTGTGACAAAAGAAGAACGAGGCTACACATGAAAGCTTCCGAGCCTGGGTTCACGATGACTAGCCTGTGCGACAAGCCGCAAATGTCAAATCAACATCCCAAGTCTAGCGCGGCTCGCTCAGATCTGACCACGGCAGACAGCTTCGGGCTTGGTTCTGGTGGGAAACATACGCTGGACATGGCTCCAAAAACTGTATGGTATGGTACCCCAAATTCCCGCGTGAGATTGTCAGACCAAGTAGGCACGTCATTGGGGACAAACAAGCCGCGACTCTGATTTGGACTTGGCTTGTGGGTGAGAGAAACTCCCCGTTCATACAAAAACCCGTTTGGAATGGTTGATGCTTTGCCAACAGGTCTGTACAGTTCTGTGGTAGAAAAAGGAGATGACTCTACACATAGGTACAAAGCTCACATACAAGTTGGAACGGTTATGAGATTCTACTCCATTCAAAGCTTGCATGAATTATGCTTGCCTTCACATTATGGTTTCATGTTCTCATGCCATGGAATATGTGCTAAACACTCTCCTACTGAAATACCCTTGTTTCAAATGCCGAGGGCATTGCCTTGCCTTTTATTCAATCATTGCAAACGCACTGAAAGGCATACATCCCTTCTTTCTGCATGCCAGAAGTATTCATTCTTCACAAGGTGAACCCAGCTCTGTCCTCCCAAGTGCAATACACCAGCGACATTCACTATCATCCTCCCACCAGCACTCCTACACTCTGTTGGGCACTCGGTCTCATGATCCTATAACAGCACCCAGCTCCGTGACTACAAATGTGAGAAAGACCAAACCCAACCTTCAGCCTGCCACTGCTGTTGTTGCTGCTGCTGCTGTTGCTGCTGCTGCTGTTGCTGCTGCTGCACATCATATGGCCCACAGCACATCCCTCACCAGCATATTCCTCCCTCTCTTCCCCACCTCTGTCGCCTACATCTGTCACCTGGTGGGCTCTGCACTTCGCTCTCAATCTCTCGCAACCTTTTCCTGGATCTGAAACCCAGTAACGCCTCTGCCGCAGTCTTCCTACACTCGGCAGCTTCATGCTGAGCCATATCCTCACCTGCACTGTCCTCCCATCCCTCGTCGTCACTACCAGCTGTGCTGAATTCCTTGAGTCGGTCAGCCTGGTTCTGTGCATCATCGCCCTTCCCTCGTGCCGCCTTCCCTCTCAGCCGCTGCTGGAAACGCTCCTGGTAAGTCGCTGCTGCCCTATTAACCATCATCACCTCCACCACACCATCCTCACCAGCATCAGCATCCTCTTGCTCCTCCTCTCGCCCCTCACACTCCTCGTCCTCGTCAGAATCATCGTCTGAAAGTACGATCACTTCTATCACCACCACCTCCTCCTCCTCCTTCTCCTCCTCCCCTTCCTCCTCCTCCTCCTCTTCCTCCTCTTCCTCCTCCTCCACCTCTTCCTTCTCCTCCTCCTCCTCCCTCTTACCCACCATTCCACCCACATGCTCATCCTTGTCCTCCTCCCCCTCACAAACGCCTCCAGCTTTACCCTTCATCCTGATCGCACGACATCCCCTCCTGGATCTCGCCCTCCCATGCACGTCCCCCATGCCTGTTTCGCCTGCACACCTCACCTCCTGAGCACACCACTTGTCACTACTGCCTCCTCCCGCCCAAGCCCCCAGCCCCTGTGTCAGCACCAGTGGCAGCTGAAAGTTCTTAGGCGAGCCGCACAGGTGGTTGGCTGCAAGAAGCAGAGGGTCATCCAGCGTACAATCCAGGGCGTGAATGGCCCGCCTCTCTCTCCCTCTCCCACTCCCGCTCTCTCCCTCACTCCCGCCAAGGCTGTCAGCATTGCTGCCTTCACTGTCTGCTGCAGGAGCAGCAGCAGCGGCGGCGGCGGCGGCAGCAGCAGCAGCAGCAGCAGCAGTCCCAGACCCGCACAGATCGTCTGTCTTCGGCTGCTGCAAACCATCTCTTGCAACCTCGTCGGCGAATCTTCCCCTCGCCAACACAGCTGCACGCACTTCTTCCGCGCCTTCTCCACCACCTGCCACTGGCACCGCTGCTCCCCCTCTCTGCCCACACGCAATCCTCGTTACAGGCACCTTCACCACCTCATCATCAGCTTCACCCCTTTCGCCTCCCACCACGCCTGCCTTTGGCTCACTGCGAATCTCCTTCCCCACGCGCATGCTCGCTGCCTTCCTCCCCTCCTGTGCGTGAGCAAGTGCCACCTGGCACTTCGCCAAGAGCGGCTGCTGTGAAGGGGGCCCCCGGGTCACACGCACACTCTTGCCTCCCGCATGCTTCTTGTGGTGTGGCTGACCTTCCACATTCCCACGCATACTCTCCGCTCCACACCCCTCTTCAGTGTATGGCTGCACTGCCGTGTGCCTGGATTCCCCAACAACGCGCCCGTCTTCAACCGCATGCCTCCGTTTGCTAGACCTCTGAACCGCCGCTCCTTCCCTTTCCTCCACCCTCTCTTCCCCTTCCTCCTCCTCCTCCTCTTCCCCTGCCTCTGCGTCTTCCGGTATACCTCTCCGCCTCTCCTCACTCCTCCCAACCCTCCTCTCCCCTCTCTTCAACGGAATTCTCCCCTCTCCCTCAGTCAGCATCTCTCCCCCATTGCCAACCCGCATCGCCTTCCTTCTTAACCCCCGCTGCCTCTTGCGCCACGAACTTTCCACACCCAAACTTTGCTCATCCTCCCCTCCGCCCCTTTCCTCCACAACCCAGACAGCTCCCAACTCGCGCCACACCACCTCCCCGGCTTGCCGCTCCGCCGCTCCCCCTTCTTCCTCCCCCTCGTGACCTGCCCAACCCCCTCCGCCTCCCAAATCCAGCGCCGCCCGCGCATCACGAAGCGCCGTTGTACCGTAAGCATCTTGCGCATCTGTTTCCCGCTCATGTGCCCCGCCCGCCTCTTCCGCAAGCGAAAGCTGCGCAGCGGGAACACAAGGCGCGCGGAGGACAGGCGGAGGGAAAGAGGGCGACGCGGAAGGAGCGATGACCGTGCTGTTGCTGCTACTGCTGCTCCTGCTACCATCACCACCACGTACTGCCTCATTGCCTGACGCCACCAAAGCGTTCCACGCGCTCGTAGGGTTTAGTGCGTTCCCATCCGTCGCATCCGTCGCATCCGTCGCATCCATCGCATCCACCGCATCTGTCGAACCCGTCGCAGCTGTCGCACCTGCCGCCGTCAGAGTAGAGGATTGCGACGACGAAGAGTGGGCTTTCACCGCCTTCGCGCACTCGCACTCCATCGCACACTCGTCGCCCGGCGGGCACACCGCTTTGCAAACACTCGCGCAGCCTGCTGCTTCTTCTCGCAAATCAAGCGCGGCGCTCACAGCAACCCTCCCATCCCGTAACGCGCTGTTCTCTTTCAAATGGCAAACCGGACTGCCCGCCTCTTCAGATGCGACTCGCGCCTTATCCCGCGATGCTTGGCTCGGCTCGAAACCAACGGGGGTTTCGTCTAGCGATGGCGGTTTCTTCTTCGCATGGCTGTCGGGTCTGGCTGGTGCCGCATCCGCTCTCTCCTCGCTCCCGCCAGGCGGAATTCCGCGATCGCCGTGCGGAAGGAGCGCTTCCCCCCACTCGCGCGGAACGCTGGCGCTTCCATGATCGCGAGCGGAAATCTCCGCCGCGGTCGCCGCGTTCCCCCACCTCCCGTGGCACAGACCCGCGCTCACCCAATCTCCGCAAGAAAAGGCCGCCCGCTGCCGTTGTCTACGCGCACGAACGTCGAACGACTGGGATACGGCGATCAGGTGGTGAGACTCGCACGGGGACTGAGCACGAGAAACTTGCGCGGTGGTAGGGTTTTTGTGAAGGAATGCTTTCTGGCCAAACTCTGAACACGCGGGAGGGGTGCTGGTCGAAGCCCAGATGAAAACGTCGACAACTGAAGACTGATCTTTAGTTGTCATTGCTCCCAGGCATCACCGCGACACGGATCGAGCCTACAATCGAGCCTCCGGAAAACAGAGAAAAGGCGTGAAATCAACAGCTCAAATTAGAAGCTGGGAGAGTCATGTTAGGATGTGCAGGCGTAAGTGTCTCTAGTGCTGGAGGAACAAAAATGCTGTAACTTCTGTTGTGTTGTCTGAGTCAGTTTTCTGCCATAAGTCGTGAGGCGGGAAAGAATGCGGGAAGATGTGGAAAAGAGCCGAGCTACAGTGCAAAATGCAAAACCGTGGTGGGAGGGACCGACCACTCGTAACGTCCCTACCTTGACTCTCCCTATCTTGCTCGACTCGACTTGGCCCACCCAGCCTTGAGACTTGCGTGTTGAGAAAATTTCTAGGGCATTTATTTTAGCGGTAACACTCATGGAGCTCAAACGCACGCAAGGTAAGCCACGTTTCCAAGTCATAACAGAGATGTCTTCTCAACGCCACCATGGTAACCAGCATTGCCGAGATGGTCAACATTATTGCCTGAATGGTAATGAACAGTGAATCCGGAAATCCTGGCTGGTAAATTCGCGTTCCAACCAAACTGTACACCGTACAAGTCAGGTTTGACTCAGCAAAACGAAACTGAAGTCCACGTATACACCCACAGAATGCGCAATTCTGTTTAGTATACCAGCGCTTACAAACGCAAAACGTTACATGCACGTATTCGATATAATTTCCTATCAGCAAGCAAGTTACGAAAACTCTGGAGAAACAAATGTAGCCTGACTATGTAAAAACTGTGATCAAATTATGTGTTAATACAGTCAATATCATGCCTTGAATGTGTTATTCATTACATCAAAAGAATATTTTAATTATTATGAAATCTTTATTGTCTGTCATATGCAGAATTATTATTGTTCAAATTAGTACTAAATTATTATGATTTGATCTATCTCCATTTTTTAATATTCGGAAATATTATCATGAAACTGTATTTTTTTTCCAAATAATTTATCACTAGGATAGATTTGCGGTTGACATTGTGTGAGTGTTTTTTCATTTTTGGGTTTGTTTGATAGTAAAGGCTATATGACTGTATTTTGTTTTTGTTTTTGCTACGGATTACAAGTTTGCATTTCGAGGTTTTACGGTCTGGCACTGTAAACGTCGATATTATAAACAGAATTGCGCATTCTGTGGGTGTATACGTGGACAGTCAGTTTCGTTTTGCTGAGTCAAACCTGACTTGTACGGTGTACAGTTTGGTTGGAACGCGAAGTTACCAGCCAGGATTTCCGGATGCACTGTTCATTACCATTCAGGCAATAATGTTGACCATCTCGGCAATGCTGGTTACCATGGTGGCGATGAGAAGACATCTCTGTTACGATTTGTAAACGTGGCTTACCTAGCGTGCGATCGAGCTCCATGAGTGTTACCGCTAAGATAAATGCCCAAGTTTCTAAGGGCAACCGAACCGCATAGCCACAACAACCATCGAACGGTTCTAAAAATGGCACTGTTGAGGCTAGTGGCTCGCACCAGTTCTATCAAATTTACGTGGCAGACTCTGGTTAGTGAGAGAGCTGAAGGCGGTTCTGCTCTGCCAGTCTTGCTTCGAACCGTACGAGGGATAAGGCGGGTGGGAGGATTCGAGGTTCGGCCATTTTCAGATGCATGCAAGTTAGCCTAGGAGCGCTATTCAAGTGCATACAGTACCAGGTTATTGCGCAGGTGCATACACGTTTCTCAGGTTCATAATTTTTCCCCGTAATTTCACACATACTAAGTCGTTCGTAGGCCGGCGACAGCGATAGTCGCCATGGTCGACCCCGTAGCTGATGCGGGTGTAGCGGACACCTTGGAGATACGCTTGGCTGATGCGAGGAAACGCCACGCGGATGGCGAGTACGGGACGATCCCCTTGCTGATCGTCGAGTTGGGCATCCGGTCGCAGTAGGCGACGGAACACCCTTCCCGTCCTGCATCTCCTCGGCTAGTGCGCAACGAGGGTGGCGTCGACGATGAGATCGACGTTGGTGCACGAGTCAGCGGCAGCGAAGGCAGGAGGCAGAGAGGGGTGATCAAGGTCGACGGTGGTGTCGACGGAATCCAGGCGCGAGTGCAGCGGTCGACGGCGGCTGCAGGCAGCTCGCGTGTCAACGTCGATGTTCGACGTAGCTCTCCTCTACGAAACGGTGGAGGGCTCTCAGCGACGACGCATGTGACTGCGGGCGGGATTGCACCGGTGTATGGCTACTTCAAGTTTCCGCCGGACCGGATCACCGTCGCACCGCTGCAAGGTCGACGGGACCTCATCATCTGGAGGGAGTCGATCGAACCTCTGCTGGAGGTCGCCGGGCTGAAGGGCTTCGCCGAAGGCACCGTGCCAATTCCGCCCGAGGAGGATGTCGAGCTGCGCGGGGAGTTTTGTTCAGCTCACCCGCTCACCTTCATGGTCATTTCGAGGTGCTGCTCGCTGGTGGTGCAGCTAGCGCTCAAGAGCTGTCAAGAGCGACTGGATGCTGGTCACCAAGCATGGCACTTCATCATGTCGACGTACCAGGCCGAGGACGACCTGTACATCGGACACCTGGAGGAGAAATAATTTACATTCGTATGGGCGAGCAGTAGTCGGCGACGGTCTACTGCAACCGAGCTCGACAGATCCTAGCTGAGATGAGGATGGCGGGCACCGAATACTCGACGGCGTCCTACATCACCCACGTCTTCAAGGGCCTGCCGCACAGCTACAACCTCATGAAGCGGTTTACGATGGTGCTCGGCACACGTGAGTCCTTCGACGAGGACTCCCTTACCAACTACATCCTTCAGGATGAGGCGATGCAGGAGGCAGAGCAGCCCACGGAGTTCCTTCCGCAGGCGAGTTACGCTGCACCGACGAAGCCGAATCGTCAGCAGGATTAGCGCGGGAAGCCAGGCGGAGGTGGTAGCGGAGGTGGGCGGTCGACGAAGGACGTCGACGAGAAGAGGTCGACGCGGGACAAGGGCCGACGAGGTGGTGGTCGACGGCGGGAGTGCTGGATCTGCAGCGACCCCGACCACCTTTCCTACGAGTGCCCCGACCGCGACGACAGCGACGAGGATGACACCAAGGGAGGCCGTGGCCGGTCGACCAGTCATCGCCCCCGTCGAGATGCGAAGCCGTGCAAGGAGAAGCAGACGCCGAAGAAGACGTCGTCGACAAAGGACGTCGACACCTCCAGCGGCAAGGGCCGAGGCGACGGGGAGGCGTCGTGCTCGATGGTCGACGTGGTGGAGCCGACAGTCTCGCTGGCACCGGGGGCTGGCGAGGACTTCCAGGCGGTGGCGGCAGCTGTGCAGGCCAACTCGATGGCGGTGCTGCTCGACAGCGGGTGCTCCCACCACCTGATGGGGACAAAGGCGGTCTTTGTCGACATGGGGCTGAGCGACGGAGTGAAGCACGTACGTGGATTCAACGGGGCGCTTCAGCCTGTCGAGGGTCGCGGAACCGTCGCTCTACAAGGGGAGGCTAGGAAGTAGGTCCTCATCCCCGACGTGCTCTACGTTCCGGGCGTACAAGCGAATCTGTTGTCAACTGGCCAGCTGAAGGAGAGCGGAGTGCAGCTGCAGGGCGACAGCGACGAGATGCTGCTTGTCGCCTCGACCGGGGAGGTGCTCGGTCGAGCACGCTACACCGGCCGAGTCCTCTACACCGACCTTCGCCCCTGCTCAACGCGGTCGCCGTCGACCGAGGTGGTGGCTCTGCGGACGATCGTCTCGGCGACGGCGTCGACCCCTGACTGGTTGCATGCGAGGCTTGCGCACGTCAGCATCGACACGATCAAGAGCTCAGCGAAGCACGAAGTTGCTGTTGGGCTTGATATCACGCCGTCGACCGGAGCAGATCCGCCGTGTGTCTCGTATGTTGAAGGGAAGCTGGCGCGGCACACCTTCCCCGACAAGGGCTCGGACACCAAGGAGGCACTGGCAGTCGTGCACATTGACTTGTGCGGGCCATTCCGGGTGGCTGCCAAGGATGGCAGCCTGTACTTCCTGCTGATGAAGGATCGCCATACTCGGTTCGTATGGGCAATGCCGGTCGCTAAGAAGAGCGACGTGCTGCTGGAGTTCCAGAAGCGGCTGGTGCTAGTGGAACGGCAGACGAAGAAGTCGGTGCTGTCGCTTCGCTCCGATCAAGGAGGGGAGTTCCTCAGGAAGGCATTCACCAACTTCGTCGATGCGAAGGGCATCGTCCACGACCTGGCGTGCCCCTACACTCCGCAGTAGAATGGCATGGCTGAGCGGGAGATGCGCACGGTCGTCGAGGCCGTACGGACGATGCTGCTGCACATAAGTGTGCAGCACCACTGGTGGCACCTTGCTCTACGACAGGTTGTCTGGGTGCGCAACTGCTTGGAGCGGTCGACGACGCCACCGGGGACGACTCCGTACCAGCTGGTGACCGGGAAGAAGCCCGACCTTACGCTGACGTGGGTGTGGGGCTGCATGGTGCAGTTCATGGTTCCCAAGCAGCAGCGCGGTGGGAAGCTGGCTTCGAAGGCTCGCTGGGGCTTCACCTTGGTGTATCGTCGGAGAGCAAGGGCTGGGAGGTGCTCAACCTGACCGACAACAAGGTGGTCACGTCGGTCGAGGTGATCTTCTACGAGACGCTGTCGTAGGAGGTGTGGAAGGCGAAGTATGGGCCGGCGTCGGGGCGGACGCAGGCGCACCCGCCGACGGACACCTCGACGACGACGATTCCGTTGCTCGCCGAAGTCGACGAGCCTCCTGATGAGGATGTTATGGAGGTTCTTCCCCCTCCCCCTGTTCTTGCTCCTCCGTTCCCCGTCGCAGATCGGCCTGTGTCAGCACCTGTGTCGACCACCGACGATGAGGGGAGCCTTGAGGCATCGCCTGTGGCGCCGGCCCATGGCATTGCCGGCGGTCGACAAGGCGCCCAGCTCGTCGACCAGGATGGCAAGCCGTCGACGACAGAGGAGCAGCAGACAGGGGAGCCGGTCGAACAGGAAGCAGCAGCA